TAAATCCCAAATACACTTCCTTCCAGTTTGTTCTATTTTTCTTATTCACTGCAACACTGAATACCTTCCTGTGATATGTTCCTGAGCATTTTAATTTTTGTGGTTGTTCAATGAATGCAAATCAAGAGAATAATCAGAAATATTCTAATACTTCAGGTATGTATGTAAAACCTGAAATACTGGTTTTGATATTTCCAACACCATTAAAAAAATCTACTCTTAAAAGTATATCAGTGCTTAAAAACGGGGGGATGAAGGGGTTAAATAAGTATATTGTATTCTGAACTCAATGATCTTTGCCAAAGAATTCTGCAGCCAGCATCTGCAGATATTTCAAGTCGGTATTACTTCAGTATCTTGAAGAACACTGGACTTAACATAACATGTTAAACTGTGACACAAACCAATGATATGGGCTGACTAAATTTTGCCTGTGTTCCTTCTTCAATTCAGTTTATGCATTCCAAGTTCTTACATACTGCAAACAGAATCAATTCTGAGTATTGTTATTACAGTCACGTCAACCTGACATTTCTGTTTTACATCACAGCTCATATAAAAGAAAGAAAAACATATTAATTTTAAGGTTTTCATGGTAGTGACTGTTTAATTTGTGGTCTAATACAGTATTGTATGTGGATGTCAATGTTTTGGAGGAACACACTGTCTCTGTCTTCGTCCACAATACAGGGACAGGAGTCGGGCACCAGGCCAAAATTACATAGTGTTGCAACTCCGACGACAATCTAAAGAAAAACAGTGTCACTTGCGCACAGAATTAACGCCATCTTAATGTTTTATAAAGAAATCCAGCAAATGAATTTGGTATATTAGTGCTGAAAATCTGAAGACATATACACATATAATTATATGTGTATATGTGTTCAGATTATAATATATTACACAAGGGTCAGTTTGAAAGCAATGCCACCAATTTCACAATTCCATCTCTAGCTAAGGTATACACAAAATACCTTTTCCACTGATCCACCCTTACAAGTTATAAGCCTTGAGGGTCACTCTGAAATCATAATTTTCTGCTGAATATACAAACTATAAAAGTGAGAAGTTCTCGAAAGAAAGCTTGATAAAATTAGCACAATTTCTTGGCAAAGGCTGATGGTGTAATACTGACTGGAACACTGTCATTTAATGCTATCTTCTGGTCCTATCATAATTGATACCAGTTCTGCATTAGATTTTTATGGTGATGGTATAATAAACTTCTTAAATGCAGAAATGGCAGTGGCAAATTCTTCAGTTCTGACATTTCCATCTGTGACATCAGAACTACTTGCTCTGAAAGTTCTTATAACAACCACCTACCTAAAAAAACCTACGGTAAGTGGATATTTATAAATGTGAGAAGTGATTACAAGTTTGGTATATACACATCATACAGAAATTGTGAATTATGGCAGTATACATATATTTAAATATGTAATGATTTAATGTTGACGTGGTATGTGTCAAACTGTAATGAAGGGGCATAATGTGTTCATTTTAAACATTTGACTACTCATCAACCCCTGAGACCATCTCTGAGCAAAAACCTTCAGTACCCTGGAATTGTATGTAAATGCCCAAGAGATAAAACTAACTTGAAAAGGTTACGCCTTCATGCAGAACAGTAATGGAACCCTTGGAGGCGCAGGCTTCTATTCAGAGGCATACGTCCACCCTAACCTTGCGAGTCGTATGAGGCTGCGCGATGACATCATACTGCAGTAGTGAGTAGGAGTCACGTGACCTCTGCATTTCCGCAAGTGACATCACATACCCCCACCAAGCCCGTGGCTTGGTAAACACCCCTTTGTCATCACGCAACAGTGGTAGCTATCACGTAACTGGTTTCTATGGAGTCCGTTGCTGGGCAATCGCTCAGTAAACACGTTCTAACAATATAGGCTCTTCTCTGCGTGTTCAGTACGGAAGCTATATAACAAGAGTATTCGGCAGAACAGATGTCAGTATTAGTCAGTATTGAGGAATATTTGAGTGGTGGAAGCAAGCGAAGTGGAACCAGGAATACAGAAGGATGTCAAGTGAATTAGAAGACTGTGTGTGTGCAACGGTGCAGCGATGCTGGAAGTATAATTGGATTTTTTAAACAAAATTAAAAGATTATTTATTACAGTGCGTGTATTCACATATAATGGAACAATATATAAAAACATCAAATTCAAACTGAAACATGCTACTTACAAAAGTTTACATCACTCATTTCTGCCAAAGTTCTCTAGAACACAAATTTCTGTGCATGAAATTCTAATGGGGGACTCACCCTTCGTATATCATGCTTCCATGCAAGCCGGGCGACCTTTTCTCTGCACGTGGCCAGACGACGAGTCGCCTGGTCTTCCTAGCGTCGGCAGCCGTGTAACTGCCAACCGGCAGGGTTTTCTTGTGTCGGCTGATGGTGTTGCTGCTAAAGCCTCGCTGTTATTGTCTGCGCTCCCGATGTAAAGGGCACCTGCTGCTGACTAGCGTGTTGGAGGTCCACGGTCAGCATTTGTGCTGTTTCTACTGGAAGGCATACGTGATACGGCTTACGGTGTGCTTCCAGCATGTAACGGAAATGCTTTACGGCCTCTCAGATAACCAGCAGCTCACGGATGCGATGCTCTCTCAAGGGGGACAGCAGCCTCAACAGCTCTGGCTTCAGTTTAAGTAGGGGTCTCATTCCAACGGAGGAGCTGTTGACCTCTACTTCCACGTCATGACGGTGATAGCCAACACCTGGTATGTTTTTCTGAGCCATGCCACAACTCACCCTGCCAGAATCTTATTTTCGTCACGATCTAGACTGAATGGCCTCTTCGTACGGTCAATCCTGGACTTCACGTGTTTATAGTTGGGCTTCTCGTTAATTATCTTGAAGTCGCTCCCATCTCACACAAGGCGCATATTCTTGTTCCAAGACTACCTTGGGGCCAACTGAAGTCGTATTCGGCATGGGATTCTCGTTAATTATCTTGAAGTCGCTCCCATCTCGCACGAGGTGCATATTCTTGCTCCAAGAGTCTACCTTGGGTCCAACTGAAGTCGTATTTGACACTGGTCCTATACCCACCACAACCTTGTTCATTGGAAGTTCTGCAAGAGAACAAGACCGTTATTAGTCAGTAAGTTTTCATCGCACCTTGTCATCAGAGATATATGAAAAGTTCCACGCTGCAATTGTGAGAAGGCTGTTGAGGCGGCCGGCTACTTCACATATAGAAAAAAAACTCTGGTTTTGTCCGTAAGCAAACTATACTGACCGAGCGACCGCCGCTTGTCGGCGAAGTTAGTGCCAGCTTTAGCGGAAAAAGGGTGTCACTTGGTCCGTGCAAAGAATCCCCATGGCCGTTAATCTCGGTTTTCTAGACTGAAGCCGCTGTTCCCTTGAAATAGCTCCTCAACTATCCTCATGAGGCTGAATGGACCCCGTTCCAGACCCAGTACTTCTCAGAAAATCTGGTAGCACCGGGAATCGAACCCAGACCTCTGGATTTGTAGCCAGGAAATTTGACCACTAGACCACAGAGGCAGTCTCTAGCCAAGAGAATTTACACTTACAATGCATTCCATAGATCCAAAGTAAGTCAAATGGCTGCTGGATGTGGAACATGTTTTATAAATACAAAGAAAATCTAAAATCGGCAATAACAACAGTGGTTACACACACACGGTTATTCAGAGATACATCCATTCACATACGTCACATTGTCACCTCTTACTATTTGAACAACCTTAAAATCTGATACTTCGACTTATGCCATTTACACAACCCTCACGTGGACGAGTCAGTATTCAGAATCCCCTGGTACCCATTAGCTAGGTGGCTGGATGGACCCCAGTGTGTGTCCAGATTCTATCAAGAGGAGAAAAATCTCTGAATGCATGGAATCAAAACCGGACCATCCAGCCTGTAGACCACTGCTATATAAAATAACCTATCTCGACTTCAGTTAGGTGTATGCTAATATGAATTTGGAGCTATGCTTCCATTTCCCCATACTTTTTCATGGTTTGGTGTTTACAAAGTTAAATCCAGCGAACATTTCACTTACCTTAAGAAATCTTGACAAGATGAAAAACATTGTCCTTCCACATTAACTTAATGCTAACACAGGAAAATGTGTTATTTTAATGTTAGGTTAGTTGCATGGACTAGGAAATCTACTCACTCTTTTTATGAGCTGCAAAAACTGCAGGCTCGAATTTCTGTCTTCTTCTTCTATCAGGGACACGTGTTGCAGGGCACCCCTGTAGCTTGGGTGTCGTACTGCTGGTGGTCAGTTCCTTCTGCTTCTCCAGAGGTCTTGTCGACCACCACCTCTTCCTCATGGATTGTAGGAACGTTTTAACAGGGATACATGTTGCAGGGCACCCCTGTAGCTTGGGTTCCTACCATGGGTGGTCATTTCTGCAGGGGTCTACCGACCACCTCCTGTTCCTCATGGTTTGTAGAAACTGTTTGTGTCTTAACAGAGATACGTGTTGCAGGGCACCCCTGTAACTTTGGTGTCGTACTGAGGGTGGTCAGTTCCTTGTGCTTCTCCAGGGCTCTATTGACCACCTCCTGTTCCTCATGGATTGTAGGAACTGTTTGTGTTGAAACAGAGATGCGTGTTGCAGGGCACCCCTGTAGCTTGGGTGTCCTACCACGGGTGGTCAGTTCCTTGTGTTTCTCCAGGGGTCTACCGACCACCTACTGTTCCTCATGGATTGTAGAAACTGTTTGTGTCTTAACAGAGATACGTGTTGCAGGGCACCCCTGTAACTTTGGTGTCATACTGCGGGTCGTCAGTTCCTTGTTCTTCTCCAGGGGTCTATCGACCACGTCCTGTTCCTCATGGATTGTAGGAACTGTTTGTGTTGAAACAGAGATGCGTGTTGGAAGGCACCCCTGTAACTTTGGTGTCGTACTGAGGGTGGTCAGTTCCTTGTGCTTCTCCAGGGCTCTATCGACCACCTCCTGTTCCTCATTGATTGTAGTGTTTGTGTTTCAACAGAGATGCGTGTTGCAGGGCAGCCCTGTAACTTTGGTGTCGTACTGCTGGTGGTCAGTTCCTTGTTCTTCTCCAGGGCTCTATTGACCACCTCCTGTTCCTCATGGATTGTAGGAACTGTTTGTGTTTTAACAGGGATACATGTTGCAGGGCACCCCTGTAACTTTGGTGTCATACTGCTGGTGGTCAGTTCCTTCTGCTTCTCCAGGGGTCTATCGACCACCACCTGTTCCTCATGGATTGTAGGAACTGTTGGTGTTTTAACAGGGATACGTGTCGCAGGGCACCCCTGTAACTTTGGTGTCGTACTGGTGTTCATATATTGCTGTTAAAACATAACATACTGATACAAGGAATGGAATATTACTGTGCTTTGAAGGCCACAAAAAAGTGACAGTGATGACACAGAAAGAAAAATGACATCCCCTGTAGGACTCAAATTGGAACTACTAATATTGTCGATGTGGATAATGATGTTAATTTAATGGAAATTATTTATTTTCAAACCTTCACGTAATAGCAACTACATATTTGAGGCTGCTGCTAACATTACATACAGACATGTTCCACAGTGAGTGTACTGGTTATTAACTTAACTTGTGTGTAATGTACCAGGCAGCCTGCATTATCCTGCTGTTACAACTACTTCTTACAACATAGGCATAGCATGAAGTGGTATAAAAATATATCTGAATAATGTAACTGAAAATACGAGTTTGTAACCATATGTACATCATCCAAACTAACTGTAAGCATTAATTAATTAAGAAGAGCTAGATGTAGGCTGCTGTCTGACCACAGGAATCCAGCCTGTAAGTGCTTAGCCCAACGAATGTGTATTTCCGGGAAATGAAGGCGAGCCGTGCAGCTGGGCAATTGGGAGGTAGCAATGACATGAACAGCTTGGGTGAGGCAGTTGCAGTAAAAGGATGAGTTAAATTCATCCAAGAGCCCTACAAATTGCGTACGATTCAATTCAGTTAAGGGATATTGCTATGTTAACTGCCCCCGATCAAAAATTAGTGGCTAATTCTGTTCCCAAACCAATTTGCCTGTGAAGCACCACACTGATACTGTTCCAACCTATCACAAGATTATGACCCTGAGATAAGAGCTATTTCCATCTGACAAGCAGCTCAGCAAATAGACAAAAGGAGTGCATGACAGCAGAGGACTACAATATGGGCCAAACCGTGAGAAATGATGAAACGCCTTCATCCAGAAAGGAAGGCAGCAGTCTGTTGCAAAATGCAAGTCTTTTATTCTAATCACTAACAAACTAACACACACTATCCCATCTGAGATCATACACATACATGAATAATGGTTATTGTCCCTGAGGATGAAAGTGTTCTCCTTTTCTGCCAGTTGAATATGTTTGATTCTCATTACTGACTCATAAGCATCCAGGTACTCTGGCCATCCTGTTAAGTTGCAAGTAATAACTCTGAAATATTCACATACATCACACATTTTATGTGTGTTAATTTACATATCTTCCATACTGAATGAAAATTTATATACAAGCTAGCACACACAACTATGTCTGTGAAAGTGGTGGGTTATGGTTTCAAATCCCTTCCGCCAACCACCATTCATGTTTAATAACAAGAGATTCAAACAAGATGAGGGAGTAAGCTTTGAGGTCTTCATTGCAGCAGTCATTCAAACTGAGGCATTGTGAGGTGTGACACCATGAAGCTTTACAGTTGGAACCGACATTTCTCAGAAACATGTTGCCTGCTTCTTCAGGGATGTGATATGTAGGTGATGTATTGGCTGAGTTGTATAACCAGGCTGCAATGGATGAGATCATTCCTAAGTTGGGTCTTATTTCTGTTGCCCCCACATGGAACAGGTCCAGGCTTCCTTTCCTTGCCCCTCTTGTGGGTTTGAGTATCTTCTTTCCAGCCTGCTTGCATATACCAACCAATTTCTCACTCTACACATGTTAACCTTGAAGATGGTGGCAACATGTTCGTCTGAAACATTGGCATCTGCCGACAAGACTACACAGAGTCACTCAGAGGGTAACAATCTTAAAATTACAAGAAGTACACTCTAGCCGATAAAAGTCAGGAATAATAATATGGATACCAGAAGTGACCACACCTGACAAGTAGCTCGAATTGACTAACTTGCTCACTCATTCATGTGTCTACTAACTGATTCACTGACCAGAAGGATCAAAGAAAGTCCTCTTTTTGTATTTATTTCATTGCCATTATCTTGAAAGTGACACTGTATAAAAGAACAAGTTTCAATTTTGTTCATGAAAGCAATACATATGAATGCTATATTGTATATGATGTCATGTTATATTTTCTGCCTATTACATAATGGAAATGACAACTGTGACAATGATATGAATTCTATGTGATTTATTCTTTCTGCAGCTCAGTAACAGCAACTTTGAATATCTGGAGAATATATGCTCTGAAATATATGATATTCTTCCTATCTTCATTATATACATAGCATATGGAATGTCATTTCATTACAAAAACAATTCACACAATTGATCAAAATAAAATGTTTAGGATGACTTCAAAACATAAAAAGCAACATAAGGTAATAATAATGAGTAAACTCATAACAAATCAACTTGAAGAGAGCCAGCAAATCATTCACTGGAAGGTTTATCAGCAAAGGTCCAAAGGTAAGTAAAGTCTGTCTCTGTGCTTAACTAATTAAGCACTATGCTATCAAGATGTAATGATGAGTGGATGTATAGACCCACGTTTTTTTGACCTCAGCAGTAGTTGGAGTGGAGCAGTCAGCTTCACGACCCAGCTGCTTTACCCCCAGGAAAAGAATGCCAGTACCCATTGCATAGTTACAATAATTAATAGTTCTCTGGGTTAGTAAAGTATGAATGTAAAATAAGATAAATATTAGTAACAAAAGAAATGCTGGCCACAACACATTTAGGGTAAAGGACTATAACCTCAATCAACAACTAATTACATAATTAACCTAATCAAACCTTCTGCTATAACACATCCCAGAACTCTTTCACAAAATATTCTCTGCATGGTACACATTTTGGCTAAATTTTGCCATTTTCAGGAGTGTTCAATTAAGTGCTAAAGCTACTCATATTTCAAGTTTCATGCTATATCAACGTAATTAAATTATAGATGATATGTCTCATAATATTAGTAGTGTCTGATATATGATTCTTGATGGTAAGATAATGATCAATTATAATTAATAAATTAACAAAAGTGTTATTCTGGTAATCTCACATATACAGAACATGCTGCAGGGCCTTAGTTTGTTAACATTTTGATGTCTGTAAATATAACAGTAACAATTTTATTTCACTGCTAATTCTTATATGCAGCATAAGTTTTCACACCACGTCTTTATGTTAATTTCACAATGATTATTTGTGAACGTTGTTCATGTGTATGTATGGAAACAAATATTCTGGATAAACAGACTTTAATAAAAACTGTCATTGCAATTTTCATTTAAATATTCTCATGCCTTGGTCACATGCTTTCAATTTATTGCATTTTCAGAGTTTACACATGATCCAAAAATAAACTCTGGTGGCAGGTTCTTTGAATTTTTGAAGATACAGTTTTGGCCAACACTAATTTTATGCTGACTTTCTAATTACTGTTCTAAAGTTCAGTTATCACAATATATGCCAAATACAAGAACAATAATGATGCTCATATTTGCATATGAACGTCTACATTAGCTTGTGCGAATTTAGTATGTTTTGTGCCACCTTCACACAAGCATTTATAAATGCTTATGAATATAAAACCCATCTCCTAATATGACAAGTTACTTAAACTGACTAAATTCTTGGTGCTGAGGCATCAACGTACTTCCACATCACCACTTGAATATTACAATAAAAAGGAGAAGTGGTTAACCATTCATGAGTCATCTCTGCAACATCACTGCATCTTAATAGTCACAGTGGGCATTTCCGCGTTTCATCTCAGGCAGAGAGACAGGAGCCCCATTCCCCCTTTCATTGAAGAACCTTTCCCCCTGAGATTGCACCTATATAGGTGATCCTAAGATACATTTGGATTTGATGCTGAAAGAAAAAATCCAATATACTGCTGCAAACCCCTGGACAACCAATGAATGGTAGTTACTTTATGGTTCAAAGTGTCATGGCTTTTAAAGATAAAAAATTTGTGCTTGTATACATTGCCACTAAGAGGTTATGGGGGCCTATTATGATATTAATACGATTAGTAGCGACAAATTACTACTGTTTTCAAACACAGTTCAAATTTGCTTGCAAAAGTAAGTTTACTATACCCATAAAATGAAATGATACTAAACTTTTCATGCTGCTGATACAACGGGTATGATCCTTAATCACTACCCTGTATGACTTTACAGTCAGGCCTCATGAGAAACATAACACTCTGGAGAAAACAAAATATCAGTTACCTGGCTATACCACTTTCACAGTAGCTAATAACATGTGCGGGACAGGAGGAGTTGAACCATGTCTGCTCCCAGAACTCTGCTGCAAGTGGCCCAAGCCCTAGATCAACTGTCATGTTTTCTGCTGCTTTGTACACATTCATTCCTCCAAATACCTTAGAATAAATCAGAAAAACAGTGAATTTTATATATGTCATACAATCTCATATTCTCTACATATCACTTTATGTTATTCTTACAATTTTCAGTAATAAATTTGTAACAGATTTATATGATGGCTGGATGCATAACATTAACCACATGTACATGAATGATAGGCTTTTACAGAAATTCCACTTTTACAGAGTGTTCTTTTCTTAAATACATTCTGGATGAATATTAAAATAATTTAAAAGGATCCTACCAATGATTCACTTTCCATACGTATGTCCAAACGCCTATGTTACTCTCCATATCATAGCAACAAGATGTGGTGTGCATACCATTCTGAGCTACTGTACTACTTATTTCTCCAGTTCAATACACAGAGTTATTCAAAAAGAATGAACCAATTTTATTACGCAATATATTATTAAAGGAAAGAAATACAAAACTCCAGCTAAGTCACAAGTATTCTACTCACAATCAACTTTTATTCCTGTCTTACAAGTGTTCAATGTGGCCACCACCTGCAGCACGGGCAACATCAATGCAATAAGAGAATTCCTCCCTGGTGCATATCAGCATATCACGATGCACTGAGTTAATCGCTGTTCTTATTCGATGTTTAAGGTCAACAAAGTTAGTGGGTAGCGGTGGAACATAAACGTGATCTTTTACATATCCCCACAAGAAGAAATCACACACGGTGAGGTCTGGGGATCTCACAGGCCAAGCACAAAGAGCAAGGTCTTGGGTCCCCTTTCAACCAATCAGGTGCCAATGGGGCGGTGCTCCATCTTGTTGAAAAATGAAGTCAAGCAAATCTGCTTGCAGTGAAGTGAAGAGCCAGTTTTGGAGCATATCAAGATAGGTTTGTTCAGTAATGGTGTTTCCTTCAAAGAAAAAGGGACCATAAACCTTGTCCTGAGACACAGCACAGAAGACGTTCACCTTAGGGGAATCTCTTTCACGCTCAATTGTTTCGTGTGGGTGCTCTGTTCCTCAAATACGCACATTGTGATGACTGCCTGTGCCGCTCAAGTGAAAAGTCGCTTCATCACTAAAAATTAAACGTGAAATGAAGGTTTCGTCTTCCATCATCTCCAGCATCGAATCGCAAAATTCCATCCGCTTCCTTTTGTCGTCATTGGTAAGTGCCTGAACGAGCTGCAGTCTGTATGGTTTCAAATGTAGACGTACTGTTAGCACACACCAGAGAGCGGATTGAGGGATCGCAAGCTCACGGCTAGCTCGATTTGTTGACTTCTGCGGGCTCCTCTCAAACGCAGCATGGATTCTCGCCACTTGTTCCTCAGAGACTCGTGGTCGTCCTGGACTTTTTCCTTTACACAGACACCTACTCTCTTGAAACTGTCAAAACCACTGTCGAATGTTCTTAGGACAGGGCGGATTAATGCCGAATCGCCTTCGAAAAGCACGCTCACCGTGACAACCAAATTTGTTTTCGCGAACTCGAGAACGCAGAACCCCTTTTGCTGAGGACTTGCCATCCGAGGGTAAACGAACAACTGAACGTTGGCGGAAGAACAACGCGACTTCAGCGCCCCTGTGGCAGTCATTCACAACTTAGATAACTCCTCTTTCAAATGGTCACTGACTCATTCCATGACATTGCTTGAGAACTGAAGCAATGCATCATGAAATTGGTTCATTCTTTTTTAATAACCCTGTATATTGGTGAGAAATGACTGGAAAATAATCTAGAAGCAGCAATATGTAAGTTCACCTACCGGTAAGAACACATACATAACTTCATATTTTAGCACCTGGGTCAAGTTCCCAATTAACAAACAATGCAGAAAAGAGAACCCAATTTTAGCTTCATTAATAAATTACAATGTAAAGTACAAAATTGTAGGCAATTTTACTTTACCTCAAGTATGGTGTAGGTCAGCAATGAGAAAGATATGAACAACATGAAATTCCTAGTTTATTTTCAGTGTCTTTTGAGTGCTCATCATAAATATGGATAGCAATCAGCTAAAACATGTTGAGATTAAGGATCAGATCCATCAGTTATCTGATACAACCAAATATTGATGGAATTTCATGTGCAACCAATGTAGAATATTTAATCCTCATGGAATGAGCAAAGTTGAACAGTGTCACCTCCCTGAAGCCAAATTCAAATCTTATCCCAGAGACCAGCTATCCTGACAGGGTTTCCCCTCAATCAAATTATGCCACGACCATTTCCTCTCTCAACTTTCCAAAGCCATCATTTGCTAATTGTCTGGACATTCAGTGCTATACTGTTTCAGTTATGATGAAACCCTCTAGACTCTAGAAGCAAACGTATTCAAAAAGAAGGTGATTACATAAGAACGTAAGAGATGTTGAACTACGGAGTGATTATCTTGACAAAATTATAGTGAAACTGCTTCCACTTTTTTTACTTACATTCCTGTTATTCTTAGTGGTACACACATTTTTGGACAGAAAATGCATGATAAAGAAAAGTAACAAGGGGAGTACTGTTCCCCTCTACCTTCTTACCTCTGTTCACTCTGTACCTGTTAATATATTTTAAGTAACAGAAAGTGAAACTGAGGTACAGAATGCCACTTTGTCATTGCATTTACTCAAGTTACAGACATCACACTATTGCCACAAGAATGCACTGTATTCAGAAGCTCATAGCTACAATACTGACTTGAACAGTCACAGTTAATCAATTATTTTTTATTTCTTCCTTAAAACAATTCACATATACAAATATATGTTTGCTTTTTGAAAAACAGTAACATTTGTTACGTCGGACACAAGTTTAAAAAATGGCCGATATTGCTCACCTTCCTTGTCACTGAAGCAAGCAAGCGCTGATAGCTTTCTAAATACAATACATGATCTGCAATGTAGGCCCAGTCATTGCCTGCTACAGTGCCTGTTGAATCAAGCAATTTAATCACCAACTGAGCTAAGTTAAGTATTTTATTTAATTTTTAGTAATCATACAGAGCAAAGATATCATAATAATGGATTTATACACACAGCATATTTAAAAAAAAAACAATGAAAATAACAACATAAAGTAGTTATTCCCCGGTACACTTGACACTGGTTGAAATGTGACACTTATAAATGTGAACATTCAGAAAGCACCATTATGTTATAAGGTGCTAGTTTATGTGCATGACACTGTATGAATTATATAAACATTATGGAACTTTGATATGAAAATTAGCACAAGGAAGGATGTAGTTATGAAAATTAATAAAGACAATCAGCTTATAAATGTCAACATTGAAACTATGATGAAAACTACCAGCCTGCTGGTTCGTTAATTCTTGAGTCTGCTATTTCATTAACAATCAGGAAGTATGCTGCCTGAGTTGAGTGGGTGGGTGAGTATGTTAGCGAATTAGTTTTTTTTTTTTCCATTTATGTATATTAGTCATTCATTGAAAGAGCTATGTCAGTAGCTGAGATAAGCAATTTGTTTAGCACAATTTCATTAACTACTAGTGCATATGTTTGCAAGCTGGGACATCTTAGATCACTATGGAAAGATATGTTTACCCTAAGGTTCTGTCCTACCGAGAAGATGGAACAGGAATGAGTGCTGTTTGTAGACCTGAGAAAAGCAGTGCCTGGAGAGTTGTTTGGACACAAAGGCGTGCAGCTTCTGGTACAGAGGTTCAATACTCTCCCACAGAAATAATGCTTCCGTGTAACCTCCTTGAAATTCGCTTTGCTGTTCCCAGTAAGTTTCCACATCTCCGGGACCTGTTGAAGAAATGAATTTAGAGTGATACAAATTTAAGAATTTTAAATCAAAGTAGCGGAGAAGTATGATTTTAAATTTAACGCTGAACTAAAAATACCTCATATATTGACTTTTAAACGATTCACTGACATTAGTTAAAAATTAAGAAATTCAGTAGAAATAACTAACTCCAAGCACAATTCAAATATATTTATATTCATCTTTTGTTAGTTTTATATCAGTTTATCATGTAAAGATGATCATCTGAGCTCTTCTCAAGTTATCAAAGAGTCAGGGTTATACAGAAATTCATCTCCTGGTTACATATGCAGTACCACTGATAGCATGATTAAATATACTTCTTGCTGAAAAATTCAGCACAGATAAAACATTATATACCAGCAGCACTGCAATGCTTTCTTCTTCCAAGAATTCCTACTTCCTTACCTATTCTAAATTTATACTCTCACCGTTTCACTCCTCTTTTATGAAATGTTCTAAATATCAGACACAAAATGTGTTTCATAAGGAGTGAACAAACTTCCAAACTATATTAAAAATGCTTGTCCTCAACCTATTACAAAACGTTCTTGAATTAGCTTCAGTGTTATATTACTTTTCCCATCACATCAACAAAATTTCAAAGGTAAATTGCTGTAATTATGACACAATTGCCAAGTTATGCTGCATGATTTTTAATTTACTAATGTTCCCACCATTTTACAGTATTTTAGCTGCTTATGATATGTTCATTTATTTTGATACTGATACAATTTTGTGTTTAGCATGCTGCAAAATGATCTCACCCAGAAAATGCAGAGGCAAATCCAAACGGTACAAAACACATGCAATTCTAATTCAAGAACAAGTTAAGGAAGAAATCTTACAAATGAATCCTAGAGAGATGAGTCTTACAACTATAATTAAAATACAAATGTCAACCAGTGTAAGATTCCAACTTCAATTAGAGTATGCATATTAAACAGAGTATTTATTAGGCTCATTTCTTGATACTGGCTGAAACTCAACTCGTGCACTGTCTGCAGTTCTGATTCTAGGGTTAAATTATTCCTCACACTACTCAAACTTACAACATATCTTAGGGAATTTTGGTACCAAGCAGTTGCTTCTTTAGCTTTGCTGCTTCCACTTGTTTGTACTAGCTTTCTGAAACATGAGGGTGATTCAACAGGCATCTGCATTTTCATTCCATATGCAGAAGGTACAAGATAGCCTGATGGAAGTTCACAGCTCCCAGTCCCATCAGATGACCTCTGATGCAGTTAGCAAGCTGTGGCAAAGAAGAGAACACGAGTGCATCAAAAAAGAACAATTGGCCAAGGTTCTCTTGTGGGTGTACATATGTGGGTGGGGGGCAAAAATGTTAAAGGGGTTGAAATTCACAAACGTTTAAGAGCCCGATATGAGAACAGAGTGTGTTTCAGTGGACAGACCTGTTTGCATGAGGCATGACAAGAGAAACCAATTGAGCATGCTTGTAGTACCACACCACAGCAGTAAGTGAGGACAAACAAACAGGAACAAGCCAGAGCCATGATCCTCAAGGATGGACAAATATCAGTACAGGACAGTGCATCAACACCAGACATCAGTAAGAGTTCAGCTCATTTAACAGTGCAAAATATTCTTGGTTTCCACACAGTCTGTGCAGGGTGGGTTCTGAGGGAATAGACAGAAGAGCACATGGGCATGAGTTCTTGTCTGCTGGAGTGGTACCATAATGAAGGCAACAATTCTTTTTTATCACATCACTGGTAATGATACTTCCCCATATACCATCAAGAACCACCTGACTCAGCCATCAGCTGGGAAGTTGCTGCTGACAATGTTCTGGACCTCTTAAAGTCGTATCCAACATTACTGGGAATGTGAAATTACACTGACAGACGCAACATATTCTGACATTTTACGAAGTGAATTGAGGCCAGCCATCCACCCCAAATAGACAAGGCAGATAATGTGCTGTTTGCATGATACTGCTCCTAATCATTGTTTCCCAACCTAGGAAAATCCTTCAAGAGCTGAGATTTGAACTGACCATCCAGCATATAGCCCAGACCTTCAATCTTCATATTTCTTCCCATTTGGACCTCTAAGGGGGCTCACAGAGGTCATCAATTTGTAGATGATTGTAGATGATGATGAGGAAGCAATCCATGACTTGCTTTACACTTGGTTCAAAGAGTTCTATTTTTTTAACAGCATCAGAAAGCTTGTGGACTGCTGTACAAATGTNTTATTCACCACATCAACCAGATTATATTATAAATTTATTAACATAATGTGGAATTTTCTGTTTAGCCTTTCAGTGAACATACCTTCTGGACCACTTCCACTAACATCCTGTGACCACATCATGCATCCATCTTCATCAGCATCGTAGACTCCCAAATTAAAATGTTCACAACTGTTAGGAACACTGCAAATTCCAATTTTATACATTAGCATACACATGAGAAAGTACTGTGTTGTAAAAAAAAATAAACTTCAAAATTTTGTTGAATTCATACATTTTGAGCCACCTGAATATAAAACTGGTCTTCAGTATGCCAACTGTGTGACTGCAAGCTTCACTGACACAATTATCTAAATCATTCACTGTAACAAGAACTGGACAAGGTCACAACAGATTACTTGAACTGGTGGTGGTTGCATCACGGTGAATGGTATCCATTTTGTTCATTTCAATTTTGGATCACTGGTAAACGGGACTACAGAAAGTTCTGACAAAATACTGTCATCGGCTATAACTTCACTACCAAAGAAAATTTTAGACATGGCAGAAAAATTATAAGGCAACAGAAAAATACAGTTGAATAATTGTGTGTGTGTGTGTATCAAGGAGAATGAGGTGGGCAGGTCATGTAGCACGAATGGAAGGGACGAGGAATGCGTACAGGCTATTGGTGGGAAAGTCAGAAGGAAAGAGCAAGTTGTCAGTGGGTGGACAATATTAGAATGGATCTTAGAGAGATAGGATGGGATGGTATGGATTAGATAATCTCGCTCAGGATACAGACCGGTGCAAGGCTCTTGTGAACATGGTAATGAACCTTCAGGTTTGATAAAAAATTCTGGTAAATTCTTGAATAGCTGCTGAATTGGCAGCTCCTCCAGAAGGGCTCAGCTCCATGAGTAAGTAAGTAAAGTCTTATCAACCATATTCTCTTACAAACCACATTACTGATAGTGTATTCTGCTTTTCAGATATTTTTAATTACCCTAGAAACATTATAATTTGTGACATATTCTGAGTAACTTCTACACTGATGTACCGTTCCATAACTAATGAATGATGATGATGACAATATTTGTTTGATCACAACTGGGTTGTGGGGACAATCACTTTGAAGATCAGCTCTCATTATTCTCATTAGCCACCTCTTTCATCACAGAACACAATTCATTATACACAGTGCCATCGTCCTTACCTGTAGCCACTAGAGCACTGTGACATGCTGCAATGATTGATATGCCTTAGTTCCCAATCAGAAGAATTTATATATTCAGGGCTTAAGGGAAACGAGGTTTCTTTTGCTGCAGAAGTTTGTGATGGTTGCACTGCCAACATTTTAAAGGAACTGGAAGGACCATACGTGCTAAATTTTGGGGTTATGTTGAATAAAATGAACGCAGACATAAACTAAACTTAATTTCTTCCTTGGATTTAACTACACCTAGAAAAGCAATTCCACCATGAATTAAAACAGACATACCGTGCTGGACTTTGTACAAGTCTTGCCTCCGCATATACAGACACTAATTATTAATGGAAACCCTACCTTACAGCTTAATTGTGAGTTTCAATTCAAGTAAAAATAACCTACGAGACAGTTTCATAGTTGTTATTCAGACCGTTAGATGGTGGTATACATTCTACTGCTCCTACTGCTATTGGTGTTGGAAGACAGAACAATTTATTAAACAATCGCGATAATGTTTTTATTTTTAGTCCGAGATATTGCGACATATGATTTTTGATAGCTTCAAGGTAATAATCATTTTCGAGTGTCATATGTATAAATTCACAAGTTTCCTTGCCTTATGTATACGTGTTTCGTTTCTATGGTTACGTTTACATTTTCGTTGCCAGCATTAGATATCGGTGGAACTGGGAGAACCTTCATCGTTATAATCCATTACCGGGTAACGATTAGTAAAACAAACTAAGAAAACTTAGCATGTAGTGACTTGTGTATTGAGGAGATCATTGATAATATTATAGTTATTTGTAATTACGTCCTGTACATGGTCAGTAAATCTATTCACCAGTCCTAACCACGTCTGTGGCCACTCATACACGTGACAAAATCGTGACATGTTGCGCAATGGAGGACACCCCCTACCTCCCCAGCGGTGACATGGCAGCTCTGGCCCCGATGACGTGGAAGATGAGTCAGCGCTGCGCTCCCACCCCCCACACTGTGACGTGGCACAGCTTCACGCTGTGACAAGCCACGCAATTGCCACGAGCAACAGGCAACAGCGAACGGTATAAAAAGCCGGCTGAGCAGTAAGCGAGAGTTAGTGTGCGATCAGGAGTGACAGAGTTGTAATATACCAGCAGTCGCGGAAAGAAGAACCGGACGCGTGTGTGATAATCAGTGATAGTTCGTGATAACTGAGAGGTAATTGGGAGTGTGTAACACAGTAACACTTATATAGCTCCCGTACTGTGAATACGTGTAGACTACTGAAGATAGAGTCAACAGATTATTGCGAATAGGGTTATAAAGTGTGTAAACCCGTAACATTGTGGTAATTAATTGTAGCCGAGACTTGTAGGTTGTTAAACAAACCAAGTAACAATCCGAACGGCGTCTTTAGTGACAAAACACGCTACAATATGTTAATTGCTTTTAAAGCATAACGTTTAAAACACAAACGCACATATATACTTTCATATCCTTTAGACTTCAACTAATTAATTTCCTGATTTCAGATAATATAATCGTGACGTATTTTCTTTGTTACAGCATTCAACTGACATATGAAAATGGAACGTGGTACGGAGAGCATTCATGCTTGTTTTCCTGCCGAAACGGAAGGTCACAACTGCTCTCCTCATGACAAACTCCGAGACCGCACTAAACATGCTCGAGACTCGTCCGTCAGCGGCTGCTGCTTCGGTTGGGTCCGAACATGGATATGCATAAACGTAAGCAGATTTCAGACATGTTCATACTGAAACTAAAAAGACATATTATCATGTTGACTGAAACATACGTGTCTGGCAAATTTTGGAAATAAGAATTTTATAGAACTGAATTTCGATAAAATTCGTTGTCCCTTTCAGAATGACCTGAATAGTGATGAAGATTGTTATGAGAGGAAATGCCCAGACAACACGGGAGAGGGCACAGAAGACTCCCGAGACTCGTCCACCGGCGGGTGCTTCGAGAACATCCAAAGATGGGTACGTGATAAGGTAAGCAAATTTCAGACATGTTCATACTGAAATTAAAAAAGCAGATTATCATGCTGATTGAAAAATGTGTTTCTGGCAAACTGTCAAATTAGATGTGTTATAGATATTGTCACGTCTATGAGTGACTATAGAGGCAAATTAGTTTTGGTGACTCATTTATTGACCACTTTAACACACGACTCGTGACTACAATTAATTATAGCGCCATCGCTGATCTCCACAATTTACACATCACCAGAATCCACGCTAACTGTATTCCACACCGCAGTGTCTACACCAGCCGTTTTCAGATAATGGACTCTAACAGTGGAGATTCTTCAGCTTCCACGCTCAGGTCATTCCAGGATGGCCACTGTCTCACAACTGAACTTAGCTGGCTGTTAAACTGCTGCTGTCCCTCAACAACACAATGATCCTTGGTTTAGAGTCCCACGGTACTCTTTACCATATTTTATGAGAGCAAAGTCAAAGTAAAAGTGAATTTCACGCTGGCGGTTTACCGCCGATCAGGACTACAATTCCTTTAACTGAAGTCCTTATGCCAGAGTCCTTAAGTAACATCCCACTTCTAACCCCTAAGAAAACAGTTTCTCTGTTGTTGCGTGCCGCAACGGCCGCTGTTCACAGTCACCGCTTAGCAACGAGTCTATACGCCACAACGTTATATGAAAATTTTAAAATAATTAGAAACAAAAGAAAAATGAATTATTACATCTAATACGAATTTGTTAGGATAACAGACTTGTAGCACACCTTGAAGACATCATATTAGTGCAAGGCTTGAATGCGAGAGACCTACCTGATATACTGCATATCTCATTGTAATATTAGCATTCATAATTAGTGTGTGAGGTTGTGGGTTTTATTTATCTGAGGATAATGGATAATGGCATGTTCTTATGTACTCGTGAATGGAACACCGTTCCATCTTGGCACGGAGACACACAACAAAGGAAGACGTACTGTCACATGTTCCTGATTGGTGTGAATAATTATAATGGGTTCTGGATTAGATGAATAGAATTATTAGACACTCACAAGGGGGTACGCGATAGCGTAGTTGGTTGAGGCACTATGCTACAAGCATGGAGGTCGCCGGTTCAAGTCTCGATGACGTCACTGGATTTTCTTTTCAATTGGCCTAATCATTCCAGCCCCAATATGGTCCTGGGATCGACTCAGACTCTAACAGAAATGAGTACCAGGAATATTCTTCGAATATTCTTGGGGGTAAAGACGGCCGGCGCGTAAGGCTGATAATCTTGCCGCCATCTATGAGCCGATTGTCTAGAAAATGTTGGAACCTCAACATCTCACAACCCTATGGGCCTCCACGACCTGTTACAGGGATAACTTTAATTTTTTTACTAGACACTCACAAGTTGTAACTACAAATAATTTTAACACTCTAAATACGTATTACTGTGACTATAACACACAAAAGGAAGTCTTCAACGTCTCCTTGCTAGTCGTGGCTTGGTAACGAACCTTATCTGCTTAAACTTTCAACTACTGAACTGCCGTCTGAATTTCCTTATGAATGACTTTCTGAAAGCCTCGAATGACGTCTGTCTTAACAAAATCCCGAATCCACTGACTTTTGTAACTACCACGCGGTCCTCATAGAAGTCACCACGTTCAAGGGTTCCATTACTGTTTTCGAAGAATCAGTTGCCTCAGAATCTTGTGTTAATTTGGGAAACGACTTCATCTCTCCAAGCGTGTTCGTTGTCGCGAAACTTTTTGCAACCATTAGTTGTCTAGCAATGGATAATATTCGTTTCTGCAATCATTCCGGTTTTTATGAAGTGTTCAACAAGCCATGGCCTAGCATATGATCATATTTGTCACAATACATTGCATGTGTGTAGGTGTGTGAAGCATTTTGCCGTGGTGTAATTGTTCAAATCGAAGAAAATTCACAACGAATATTAATTTTGTGATGCCGCAAACTATTCTTGAATCACGCAATATCGACGGCGATTAAGCCACTTAACTACCCGTTCCTGAAACCATTGTGATATGTTCAGTTTTCCAGGCGCCTCGGAACAGAACAAGAGACAATGACAGCACAGCTACCTGTGACAGCAACAGAACAGAGCCCTGTGACGCCTGTAACGGCGACAGAACAGCGACCTGTGACGGTGGCAGAACAGCGACCTGTGACGGTGACAGCAACAGAACAGAGCCTTGTGACGCCTGTAACGGCCACAGAACAGCGACCTGTGACGGCGACAGCACAGCGACCTGTGAGGCCTGTAACGGCGACAGAACAGCGCCCTGTGACGGCGACAGCACAGCGATCTGTGACGCTTGTGACAGCAACAGAACAGAGCCCTGTGACGCCGGTAACAGCGACAGAACAACGACCTATGACGACTGGGATGGCGGCAGCCCAGCGCCCTGTGACGGCGACAGCACGGCGACCTATGACGCCTGGGATGGCGACAGCCCAACGCCCTGTGAAGACTGTGACGGCGACAGGCCAGCGACGCGGGCAAAAGCAGGTAAGCCACTGCACTAGGCACTGTGAGTGCGCTTGTAGCTGGGAGGTTAATACGAAAGCTGGCTGTGAGGATGTAATATTCTGATGACGGGAAATGCATTGAGTCGATCCTGGAGAAGAGGAGGAGTTCCATGCAACCCTCATATACCTGCTTTCCTATTGCAAACATTTCTACCTCCTCGAACCCTGTGTCCGTATAATTTATATTTGTGTTTAGGCAATGCAGGCCGATCAGAGTCTCCGTGTAGTCTAAGGCGCGCTATGTTTCCTAACAATCCAGTAAAGAATATTAGAGTCAGTTTTACCAACCACACAACATATTTTTATTATTATTACACTACATATTTCGACCTCAAGAGGTCATCCTCAGGTGTACGAACACAGCTGTATAATTACACGCAATCACATTCGTCTTCTCACTTATACGATCCTGTATCTTATTCAGGCCCACGCTCAATAATATATCAAGTTCTCTCATAAAACACAAGTTAAAATTGCTCTAAATGTCAAAAGTTAAAATTTAAATTTTACATTTTAAAAAATTTAAAATTTGTTAATCGAATTTCACTAGTTATGCTTTCACTTTCACTTGTATTCAGTCACTTCCCACTTACGTTCATCGCTGCGTCAAGTTCACTTTAACTAGTTTAATTATATTATTGATTAAACGTTCATGAATTAAAGTTCAATTTTATTGTAGATTACACTTTTTCATTTTGTATGTCTTGCTGTTCTACTGCGTCTTCTGAAGTTGTTGGATCTGTACGGTCCTTGTCAGGATAATATAATTAAACTAGTTAAAGTGAACTTGACGTCTTCTGGTGTTTGTTACAGTTTTATTGTTTTTTTTTTCCATAACTTACTCTCCCTATCTTTAATGAGATAGTTTTCTTTGATTCATCCTTTATCTCTGAACATGAGCTTATCCTGTGGCTCGTTTTAATGTCCTCAGGAGCGAGAGGAACAACTTGATGAAGAATTCGAACCTCTCAGAAGGCAAGACGCTCGGTGTCAGAAGAACTACACGAGAAGAAACAAAAAGATGACACCAGCAGAGAAGTATTTGGAAGAATACCAGAAACGTCTAGGAGCTGTAAGTACTGCCTATCAGAAGAATTTAATTTGCATAAAATTCTGTAAAGTTTATCTGAACATCCCCAGCTTATAGAAATTGAAAATAGGAATGTCTCTTTTATATTCCATTTTATTAGTTCTCAATGAAATTGCACCACTAGCGACTCGTTAACACGACGGTCAGCTCTCATGCGTTACAAAACGAGGACAACCCTGAAAAGGTCTCCAAGAGCGCGTCTTACCGAACGGGTAGCATCTTTCTTCGTACTCAGAAGGTCGCTTATTTATATCACGTGCCGAAAACCGGCTATCCTGTTATGATTTTTGCGTGCCTTTCTTCGGTCGCCCTAGGCACGTCCCTGGTATTTCCACGATAACGTCGAATTGCGAGGTGGTAGTGAATAATGAATTGGTGAGGATGTGGAAGGAAGTGGTCGGGCTGTAATCTGAGACATACTTTTGGCATTTGTCTGGAACGAGGACCGAGAGAAACAATGAAACCTCAGGCACGGTAGTCGATCTCCCTATTAAGACTCTCGAATAAGCTACAGGAGCGCTCCCTCTTCCGCCGCGAGTAATTCATTATTGCTTTATCATCTTACCACTGGATGATACACAAAGTGAGATACTGACAGCACTGTCAGATTAACCGCAAATAAAATGAGTAAATAATGAACAAATCGTGTACCAAAATCATTGGAGCGGTTTCAAACAACCATACGGGATTTGGAAATGCACGCAAAGCATGTTTCCCACATGGAACGAAAGAGCGGGTATTCAAGTTTTGATCGCATGCGCAATCGCCCCCCCGCCCCCACACACACCTCCTACTCGGTCAGCGACCGAGAAACATACGAGGCTATACGAGTAATCTCTCGATTCTTGTAAAGTCGTGAAGTCAAGCTGGGAATGCATACTAACATTGAAGTCTTACAAGTAACTGAAATATCCTACGCTATTTTGTTTACATCTTCTGATGTTTGTCACAGTTTTATTGTTTTGTTTTTTTCCATAACTTACTCTCCCTGTCTTTAATGAGAGATAGTTTTCTTTGATTCATCCTTTATCTCTGAACATGAGCTTATCCTGTGGCTGGTTTTAATGTCCTCAGGAGCGAGAGGCAGAAAGTGATGAGGAATTCGAGGCTCTCAGCATGCAAGATGCTGTGTGTCAGAAGAACAACATGAGAAGAAACGAAGAGAGGACACCAGCAGAGAAGTATTTTGAGGAATTCCGGAAACGTCTGAGAGCTGTAAGTACTGCCTATCAGAAGAATTTAATTTGCATAAAATTCTGTAAAATTTATCTGAGCATCCCCAGCTTATAGAAATTGAATATAGGAATGTCTCTTTTATATTCCATTTTATTAGTTCTCAATGAAATTGCACCAGTAGCGACTCGTTAACACGACGGTCGGCTCTCATGCGTTACAAAACGAGGACAACCCTGAGAAGGTCTCCAAGAGCGACTCTTACCGAACGAGTAGCATCTTTCTTCCTACTCAGAAGGTCGCGTGTTTATATCACGTGCCGGCTATCCTGTTATGATTTTTGCGTGTCTTTCTTCGGTCGCCCTAGGCACGTCCCAGGTACTTCCACGATAACGTCGAATTGTGAGGTGGTAGTGAATAATGAATTGGTGAGGATGTGGATGGAAGTGGTCGGGCTCTAATCTGAGACATTATTTTGGCATTTGTCTGGAACGAGGACCGAGAGAAACAACGAAAACCTCATTCACGATAGTCGATCTCCCTGTTGAGACTATCGAATTAGCTACAGGAGCGCTCCCTCTTCCGCCGCGAGTAATTCATTATTGCTTTATCATCTTACCACTGGATGATACACAAAGTGAGATACTGACAGCACTGTCAGATTAACCGCAAATAAAATTGTTAAATAATGAATACATCGTGTACCAAAATCATTGGAGCGGTTTCACGTGACCATATCGGATTTGTGAACGCACGCAAAAGCATGTTTCCCACATGGAACGAAAGAGCAGGTATTCAAGTTTTGATCGCATGCGCGATCGCCACTCACCCCCCACCCACACACACACACACCGCCTACTCGGTCAGCGACCGAGAAACATACGAGGCTATACGAGTAATACGACTTGTCTTGATTCTTGTAAAGCCTTGAAGTCAAGCTGGGAATGCATACTAACATTGAAGTCTTACAATTAACTGAAATATCATACGCTATTTTGTTTACATCTTCTGGTGTTTGTTACAGTTTTATTGTTCTTTTTCCCATAACTTACTCTCCCTGTCTTTAATGAGATAGTTTTCTTTGATTCATCCTTTATCTCTAAACATGAGCTTATCCTGTGTCCTCAGGAGCGAGAGGAACAACTTGATGAAGAATTCGAACCTCTCAGAAGGCAAGACGCTCGGTGTCAGAAGAACTACACGAGAAGAAACAAAAAGATGACACCAGCAGAGAAGTATTTGGAAGAATACCAGAAACGTCTAGGAGCTGTAAGTACTGCCTATCAGAAGAATTTAATTTGCATAAAATTATAGAAATTGAAAATAGGAATGTCTCTTTTATATTCCATTTTATTAGTTCTCAATGAAATTGCACCAGTAGCGACTCGTTAACACGACGGTCGGCTCCCATGTGTTACAAAACGAAGATAACCATGAGAAGGTCTTCAAGAGCGACTCTTACCGAACGGGTAGCATCTTTCTTCCTACTCAGAAGGTCGCGTGTTTATATCACGTGCCGGCTATCCTGTTATGATTTTTGCGTGCCTTTCTTCGGTCGCCCTAGGCACGTCCCTGGTATTTCCACGATAACGTCGAATTTCGAGGTGGTAATGAATAATGAATTGGTGAGGATGTGGAAGGAAGGTCGGGCTCTAATCTGAAACATTATTTTGGAATTTGTCAGGAGGGAGGACCGAGAGAAACAACGAAAACCTCATTCACGATAGTCGTTCTTCCTGTTGAGACTCTCGAATAAGCTTCAGGAGCGCTCATTCTTCTGCCGCGAGTAATTCATTATTGCTTTATCATCTTACCACTCGATGATACACAAAGTGAGATACTAACAGCACTGTCAGATTAACCGCAAATAAAATTGTTAAATAATGACTACATCGTGTACCAAAATCATTGGAGCGGTTTCACGTGACCATATCGGATTTGTGAATGCACGCAAAAGCATGTTTCCCACATGGAACGAAAGAGCAGGTATTCAAGTTTTGACCGCATGCGCGATCGCCACTCACCCCCCCCCACACACACACACACACACACCGCCTACTCGGTCAGCGACCGAGAAACATACGAGGCTATGCGAGTAATACGACTTGTCTTGATTCTTGTAAAGCCTTGAAGTCAAGCTGGGAATGCATACTAACATTGAAGTCTTACAATTAACTGAAATATCATACGCTATTTTGTTTACATCTTCTGGTGTTTGTTACAGTTTTATTGTTTTTTTTCCCCATAACTTACTCTCCCTGTCTTTAATGAGAGATAGATTTCTTTGATTCATCCTTTATCTCTGAACATGAGCTTATCCTGTGGCTGGTTTTAATGTCCTCAGGAGCGAGAGGAAAACTTAATGAGGAATTCGAGCTTCTCAGAAGGCAAGACGCTGTGTCAGAACAACTATATGAGAAGAAACGAAGAGAAGACCCCAGCACAGAAGTATTGGGAGATATTCCTGAAACGTCTATTAGCTGTAAGTACTGCCTATCAGAATAATTTAATTTGCATAAAATTATAGAAATTGAAAATAGGAATGTCTCTTTTATATTCCATTTTATTAGTTCTCAATGAATTTGCACCACTAGCGACTCGTTAACACGACGGTCGGCTCTCATGTGTTACAAAACGAGGACAACCCTGAGAAGGTCTTCAAGAGCGACTCTTACCGAACGGGTAGCATATTTCTTCGTCCTCAGAAGGTCACGTGTTTATATCACGTGCCGTAAACCGGCTATCCTGTTATGAGTTTTGCATGCCTTTCTTCGGTCGCTCTAGGTACGTCCCTGGTTTTTCCCCGGTAACGTCGAATTGTGAGGTGGTAGTGAATAATGAATTGGTGAGGATGTGGATGGAAGTGGTCGGGCTGTAATCTGAGACATACTTTTGGCATTTGTCTGGAACGAGGACCGAGAGAAACAATGAAACCTCAGGCACGGTAGTCGATCTCCCTATTAAGACTCTCGAATAAGCTACAGGAGCGCTCCCTCTTCCGCCGCGAGTAATTCATTATTGCTTTATCATCTTACCACTGGATGATACACAAAGTGAGATACTGACAGCACTGTCAGATTAACCGCAAATAAAATGAGTAAATAATGAACACATCATGTACCAAAATCATTGGAGCGGTTTCAAATGACCATACGGGATTTGGAAATGCACGCAAAGCATGTTTCCCACATGGAACGAAAGAGCAGGTATTCAAGTTTTGATCGCATGCGCAATCGCCCCCCCCCACACACACCTCCTACTCGGTCAGCGACCGAGAAACATACGAGGCTATACGAGTAATATGACTTCTCTCGATTCTTGTAAAGTCGTGAAGTCAAGCTGGGAATGCATACTAACATTGAAGTCTTACAAGTAACTGAAATATCCTACGCTATTTTGTTTACATCTTCTGATGTTTGTCACAGTTTTATTGTTTTGTTTTTTTCCATAACTTACTCTCCCTGTCTTTAATGAGAGATAGTTTTCTTTGATTCATCCTTTATCTCTGAACATGAGCTTATCCTGTGGCTCGTTTTAATGTCCTCAGGAGCGAGAGGAAAACTTAAGGAGGAATTCGAGCCTCTCAGAAGGCAAGACGCTGTGTGTCAGAAGAAGTACATGAGAAGAAACGAAGAGAAGACCCCAGCACAGAAGTATTTGGAGGAATTCCAGAAACGTCTATGAGCTGTAAGTACTGCCTATCAGAAGAATTTAATTTGCATAAAATTACAGAAATTGAAAATAGGAATGTCTCTTTTATATTCCATTTTATTAGTTCTCAATGAAATTGCACCAGTAGCGACTCGTTAACACGACGGTCGGCTCTCATGTGTTACAAAACGAAGACAACCATGAGGTCTCCAAGAGCGACTCTTACCGAACGGGTAGCATCTTTCTTCGTACTCAGAAGGTCGCGTATTTATATCACGTGCCGTAAACCGGCTATCCTGATGAGTTTTGCGTGCCTTTCTTCGGTCGCTCTAGGTACGTCCCTGGTTTTTCCACGGTAACGTCGAATTGCGAGGTGGTAGTGAATAATGAATTGGTGAGGATGTGGAAGGAAGTGGTCGGGCTGTAATCTGAGACATACTTTTGGCATTTGTCTGGAACGAGGACCGAGAGAAACAATTGAACCTCAGGCACGATAGTCGATCTCCCTGTTAAGACTCTCGAATAAGCTACAGGAGCGCTCCCTCTTCCGCCGCGAGTAATTCATTATTGCTTTATCATCTTACCACTGGATGATACACAAAGTGAGATACTGACAGCACTGTCAGATTAACCGCAAATAAAATGAGTAAATAATGAATACATCGTGTACCAAAATCATTGGAGCGGTTTCAATTGACCATATCGGATTTGTAAACGCACGCAGAAGCATGTTTCCCACATGGAACGAAAGAGCAGGTATTCAAGTTTTGATCGCATGCGCAATCGCCACTCCCCCCCCCCCAAAACACCTCTTACTCGGTCAGCGACGTAACACAGAGATAATAGCGACTCAGGAGCAGTAAGTGTTGTGTGGGCTGCAGTTTGCGAAGCATGAAACCGTTGTTTCTATTCAGATTCCGAAAATGAAGCCCTATCGTCTTCACTTGGTGCAGTTTCTTGAATCATTTTGGTACACGGTCTAGAGAATTTGATTGCATTTAGAGCATACAACGCCTGCAAAGTCAGCATGGAAATAAGGTTTTCCCACAATTTCAACATATAAAACAGGGCAAGGAAGAGCGATATGTTCTGGAATATAACGCTATATAGTCATTCGGAAGTATAAGGACCTTTCAAAGGAAAAAATAGTGCTTCTATATTCAGGGTCAGAAAATAAGAGGAACCTCAGTTTTCCACCTGCTTTCCATCTGGTTTCTTGCTCTACTTATTCTTCTACCCACGGGGACACACAACAAAGGGATGTGTACTGTCATATGTTCCTGATTGGTGTGAATAATAGTAATAATAATAACAATAATAATAATAATGGGTTATGTGTCAGATGACACTCACAAGTAGTAACTACGAATAATTATAACACTGTAACACACAAAATGAAGTCTTCAACGTCTGCTTGATAGCCGTTGCTTGGCAACGAATCTTTTCTGGTTAACACTTGAACTGCCTTCTGAATGTTCTTATAAATGACTTTCTCAATGCCTTGAACGAAGTCTGTCTAACGAACTCACGATTCCACTGACTTTTATAACAGCCACGTGATCTTCCTGAAAGTCACCATGTCCTGTGATTCAGTTATTGCTTTTCATGAATCTGTTGTGTCGGATCCTCGTCTTAATTTGAGACAACGTTTCGATCCCTCCAAGCGTGTTCGTTGTGGAATTACATTAGTTTCTGCTATCATTCCGGGTTTCAGGCACTGTTCAACCAGCCGGTGCATTGGAAATGATCATAATAATCACAATATATTAAGTGTGTGAAGCAGTTTGCTGTGTTTAGTTATTCAAACAGAAGACAACATATGTCACATATTCATTCTCTAGTGCCACCAACTGTTCTTGAAGCAAGCAATTCCAACGATTACTAAGAATCTCAGCTACTGGTTCCTGAACACTGTGATGTTTTGTTTTGCAGGTGCCTCGGAACACCACACGGGACCCTGACAGCACAGCGACTTGCGACGGAGACAGCAGAGCTACCCACGTGATCTTCCTGAAAGTCACCGGCAAGGGCGACAGCACAGCCACTTGCGACGGAGACAGCACAGTCAATGGCGAGAGCGACAGTCTAGCCGCCGGCAAGGGCGACAGCACAGCCACTTGCAACGGAGACAGCACAGCCACTGGCGAGTGCTGCAGCACAGCGACTTGCGACGGAGACAGCACAGCCACTGACGAGTGCGACAGGCTAGCCGCCGGCAAGGGCGACAGCAGAGCGACTTGCGACGGAGACAGCACAGCCACTGGCGAGTGCGACAGGCTAGCCGCCGGCAAGGGCGACAGCACAGCAACTTGCGACGGAGACATGATTCCCACATGGAACGAAAGAGCAGGTATTCAAGTTTTGATCGCATGCGCAATCGCCACTCCCCCCCACACACACACACGCCTCTTACTCGGTCAGCGACGTAACACAGAGACAATAACGGCTCTGGAGCAGTAAGTGTTTTGTGTGCTGCAGTTTGCGAAGCATGAAACCGTTGTTTCTATTCAGCGGGCCTTCCAGCGATAATTTAAGAGTGATTCTCCATCTCCCAACAGCATTAGACGTTGGTATCAGCAGTTTCAGACAAAGGGTTTTTTTAAAGTGGCAAAACGTTCAGGACATCCGCGTGTCAATAGAAAGTGTGATACGAGGCAGTCTTTTCTTCGCAGTCTCAAGAAACATGTGCGCCATGCGAGTCGTCAATTGGAGATGTCAACTATGACTGTGTGAAGGGCGTTGCGAAATATTCCAAAAATGAAGCCCTATCGTCTTCACTTGGTGCAGTTTCTTCAGTCATTCTGGTACACGGTGTAGAGAATGTGATTGCATTTAGAGCATACACCAAGTTGGTGCCTGCAAAGTCAGCATGGAAATAAGGTTGTCCCACAATTTCAACATATGAACCAGGGCAAAGAAGAGCGATATGTTCTGGAATATACCGCTGTTTAAGTCATTTGGAAGTAGACGGACGTTTCGAAGGGAAAAATAGTGCCTCTATCTTCAGGGTCGGAAAATAAGGTAAGGAACCTCAGTTTTCCACGTGCTTTCCAGCTAGTTTCTTGCTCTGTTTATTCTTCTACCCTGAAAATGAGGCATGTTCCTTCGAAACGTCCAGTTGACTTTGAAACGACCACATTGCATTATATCTCACAGAACAAGTACTCTTCAAAAACACCTCTGTGAGACCCTCATTTCCTACAAAAACAGGACAAATTATAACAAATTCTGTGTTTGAAACGTTGCGGCAAACGCCCGATTTTGATGAATAGGAGCTGGACGAATGAGACGTGTGGCCACAGGAAGATGACTTCATCTGAGAAATTTCCGAGGCCCAGTAAACTCTTTTTCATAAGACGAGAGTATGGTCCCAACACACTTGTAAATATTTTTCCAATTTGTTTTAAGTTTTATACAATTATACTTAGTGTTAATAATTATGGCATAATCATAAAGAGTATTACTGCACTTTATTATACGGTGTGGCATGTTTATAAATATAAAATTATATTTAAATTATTTATTAATTACTATACTAATGAAATCTTGTAGCATATTTAATTTCCTCAAGCCAACATTGCTAAATTAACTTGTGCTAATTTTCCTTGACATATCTCACTGTAATCACCAAAAATATATTTATTATTAAGATTCTTGTATTTTCATGTATGCAAAGTTGTAATTTAATAAATAAAAATGTACGAATCTATCAATTCTAAATACAAATTTCATAGCTTAGACTGTGAGGCCACTGTGATCGGATCTCTGAATACACTTCATAACCTAGTTCTGTGTCTTCCGTCCAATAGAATGGTTATACGGGAGGGGCAACTGAACGCACAATTTTAATTCAAAAGCATGTACGCGGGAGAAGCCAACAGACTTCAGTGTACGTGAACGGCCGCACTCTGTTCTCTGTCTAATCAATTTATTTCTCGCGAGGAGGCCCTTTTTTCAGTCAGTGAATACATACGTATTTTTTTAAAGAAACTCTTTCAACATAAGCGGCGTCGATCACAGTTTTAATTTTGTGAACTCCGGAAATAAATATGCAGAACTGGGCGGTTTCTAATGACAATACAGTATGCAGCCAGAAATTGTAAGAAAAAAGTTGTATTACCTCTTCAGTCCAAATTCAAAGAATACGCAAACTGAACACTTGGAAGCCATTTAAACTTCTGGGTCGTATTGAATTACTTTCTCACTAAGGTATGGATTCACTGCCGCACTAACGTAAATATGGAGACCACTCTAGCACTTCACACTAAGAGTTCCAAACCTGTGGAACGTGTCCAAGTCGGAATGCGTGAGGGAATTATAAAGGAAGCGTGAAATCATAAATTTTACACAAAATTAAATGAAATTATCTTCTTCTTCTTCTGTATTTAGTAAAGACAGACTCATCTTACCTGCTACACGCTGTTTTTCTGCCTGACTCATTCTAAGCCCTGAAGATGGATGCGAAATTTTCTTCCTAAATGTCGCTTGAATTTTAACAGGCTACAAGTTACATCCCATACGATACTCCGTGGCCTGTAGTCCGCAAGCGAACTATACCGACCGAGGGACCGCCGCTTGTCGGTGAAATTAGTGCCAACTTTTGCTGATAGAGGATGGCACGTGATCAGCACAACGGATCCCCAAGGCCGTTAATCTCGGTTTTCTAGAACGGAGCCGCTATTTCCTTGAAGTATTACCTTAATTATCCTCACGAGGGTGAGTGGACCCCGTTCCAGACCCACTACTTCGCAGAAAATCTGGTAGCGCCGGGAATCGAACCTGGGACCTCTGGATCTGTAGCCAGGAACTCAGACCACAGAGGCGGTCTTCATCCCATACGATATCTTCATAAATACCGCTGTGAGAACCTCAAATTCGAAAATCAAACACATTTTACACAGACTATATTTCGCGATGGTTTTATAATTTCGGGAAATTCTGTTTTAACCCGTGTCGAAATAGGAAGCGGTCAAGGTTAGCGGTATGTCGTATTCATATATCTGGGTGACTAGCAAAAATAATGTAAGCGACAGTGTTTACATACTAGATTTTATGGAACATATGTATATATTGCAGTTGAAGTGAAACACCAGTCTCTATATTCAAAGCCTGTAGAATCCATAAATGCCACGGGGCGTTTCTGCCCCTAAAAATACAAACAGGATGTTCCTCACTCATAAGCCATCTCACTTTCATGGTGTGTCACAATGGCAAAACCTTAACATATGTCCCCAGTAACTTGTCCAGAGATGTACACAGAACAGTTGGATAGGCTCAAATGGAGAGTTATAACTCTATGTTCCCACTCCTTGCCGTCTTTGTGCAACCTCGAAAGAAATATTGATGTTCACATCCATGCCTTGTCTGGGATTCGAAAACACGATCCCGGCTTCAGAGCAAGTGAAGACAGTTCATGCCTTAGACCGCTCGGCTAGAGTGACCGGCAGTGTATGAAAATAATATATAAGAATTCAGCCCGTACCTCACAGGAAACAGATCTGAACCCCCGATCCCGGCTTCCGAGCGAGCGAAGACAGTTCATGCCTTAGACCGCTCGGCTACCGTGACCGGGATGCATCACTATATTCTCATTTATTATAAAGGAGTTACAGTCCCTTAAATAATAATATTTGTATAATAAAAGTTATCAAATGTTGTTACAGACTTTTAAGTTTTAAGATCTTCTATTAGCGAGTAATACAAAATTAAAGTGTTGAGCCGTGTCCCTCCCCCATGTGGGTCGAGAACCACACTCGGCTACCACTTTGAGCCGTGTCCCTCGACCCCGTGGGTAAAGAACCCCGTTCTTTCATCCACTTTGACCCGTGAACCCCTGCTCAATATGGATAAGGGACACGCTCATAAGAAACGACTTGCTTGTGGCGTGATGCACTATGAAGATTGTGTAAGGGATCTCGGGGGAGGAAAACCACAGTCGGCACGATGGTCCAGGCTGGACGGATCCGCTAGTCAAAAGCTGGTATGGCATACACGGCACAAGTATACATAAACACAACTGGCGTTTTCAAACATATAAATAAATATATATATTGTTAACATATGTAAAGAAATAAGACTCCGCCTGAAGGGCGGTGACTGGTTAGAACATGCGATCAATGATTGATACAACTACACTGTGCCTAGCAGCACAGAAGGTTAAATCAGCTACGCCTCATGGCGTCTTTCTACTTCTCCAGAACAAGTGTGTACTTAGACAAGCCTTTAGGGCACAAGGAAATATAAACAGCTTACATACACGCCTGAGGGACGATCTGCTGTTTAGCACAACCTTAGACAAACCAAAATTATCCTACGCCACACGGCGTTCATAATCGAAGG